GTGTTTTTCTGTACTAGAAGTGAACAGAGAATGAAGTAAACCTACATGTTTTTAGTACAATATATTCAAGTGTTTAGGAGTTACACTGTGGAGAAGAACAGAGGAGTTATTTTATCCACAACAGGTGCAATGGTGGAGACAGGGGGTGGCTAATGGTGGCCTTGACCACTTCAGATTAATTTCTGGCCACTCCAAAAATTTGAAGAAACTTTACTTATGAGCAACTAGAAGCATAGTTTCCTGAAATGATAGTGACAATATGCCTCTTCAAGTAGCATTTCTGCGTCTACCCTTAAAAAAATGTCCGTCCCTACAAGAGTGGTGGGGGTGAGTGCCGAGCTAACCAGGCAGTCGTACGCAGGCAGGAGCCCACAGGCAGGAGCCCACAGGCAGGAGCTCACAGGCAGGAGCCCACAGGCAGGAGCCCACAGGCAGGAGCACACAGGCAGGAGCACACAGGCAGGAGCTCACAGGCAGGAGCTCACAGGCAGGAGCACACAGGCAGGAGCACACAGGCAGGAGCTCACAGGCAGGAGCTCACAGGCAGGAGCTCACAGGCAGGAGCACACAGGCAGGAGCCCACAGGCAGGAGCACACAGGCAGGAGCTCACAGGCAGGAGCCCACAGGCAGGCACCTGGAGGTCTCACATGTGGAGTCAAACAACACTGAGCAGGGACAGAGTCGAACACTGTTCTGAGCCCAATTTATTTGACGGTTCTGTCGTGTGTGTGTGTGGGGGGGGGGGGGGTATGCTTGACAGCGGAGTGTTTACAAATGTAGGTAACGTAGTAGATGTTTAACAACCATGGGCGGCTGTGACTGAGTGGTTTGAGCAGTCGTGCGCCAATGCAAGAGTTGGGGGTTCGAATCCACCAGCAGTCACATGTCGAAGTGTCCCTGGGCAAGACACTGAACCCCTCATAGCCTCCGATGTGTGTCCCATCAGTGTATGAATGTGATAAAGAACTGATTAGTCTCTTTATAATGATTTGTTCAATTAGCTTTGTAGAGATCTAGTAGAGTGCTGTATGAATGGGTAAATGAGAACACAGGTTGTGTTGTAAAGCGCTTTGGGTGTCTTGAATAGATAGAAAGGCGCTATATAAAAACAGTCCATCCATTTATTAAAAAATACACCAAAATGCAGGAAATTGCATCAACTTTATTCAAAATTTTCTGGGGGAGGACCCCCAGACCCCACCCCTTGGCACTATTTGCATTCCAGCATTGATTGTTTTACAAATTAAGCCCTTGGTGTCATCATGGAGACAGATGAAACAATGGTCTCTTTTGATGTCACATCACTCTTTACGTGCATTCCTGTTGATGATGCAGTAGAGGTGGTCAGTTTAAGATTAAAATCAGACACCACTCTGAGCAGCAGGACCACGCTTTCCACAGAACAACTGTGTCAGCTCTTGAAACTGTGCCTGCAGTCAACCTACTTCACATATGGGGAGCAATATTATAGGCAGAAACATGGGTGTGCTATGGGGTCTCCCAGGGGCGGACTGGGACAATAATCCAGGCCGGGAATTTTGATACCATCCCAGGCCACCACCACCTGATTAACGCAAACCACCAAGACTGAGTTCAATTGAGCGCACTTTGAATGCATGTTGTTTGCACACGTCTAACTGAGTTTTCACTTATTGACTATTTATATGTATTGGCTATTCATATAACAAAAAAAAAGGTCTTAATCTCAACGGAACTTTACCTGGTAAAATAAAGTTTAAATAAAATATTGTAATACAAGGATTTTAATATTCAGATAATTTATTGGAGTAATGAAGGGTATACACAAAATATCCTCAATAATCCAGGTAGAAATTCTAAAAAAGTTAAGTCAGGTCCTCTGGACAGATTAAAAAAAAAAACAACTTGTTGAAACGTTTAGTCTTTAATCCAAAAGACTGTCAGTTTGAGAAGCTGCAACAAACTTAGTTTCAAATAATCTCTTTTCATAGTGGATCAACCAGTTTGTTGCTGACATCCAGAACTAGCTGTTAACATGATAAAGGAGGACCATCATCAGCCTAACAATGGATCGTTAGTGCTCTAGGCTGTTTGCTATTCACAGGGGGCTGAGAGATACCAGCAATAACAGCATTGTAAGAGGGCTACAGTTGGACACAGAGGCCTCTGTCCCTGTTTAATGATGGATGAGTTCTCATCACAAAGATGGCTTCCTTTACTCCTCTCTCAAACCAACACTTCTCTCTATCAAGGATGAGCACATCTTCATCCCTGAAAGTGACTGCTGGCCTGCAGATGAGTGTAAACCACAGAGTTCTCCTGGCCTGATGATGTTGCTCTTTGGCCCAGCACAGAAGAGCAACATCTTCAGGCCAAGACTCGGCAGTTTACACTCATCTGCAGGCCAGCAGTCACTTTCAGGGATGAAGATGTGCACATCCTTGATAGAGAGGAACTATGGTTTGAGAGAGGAGTAAAGGAAGCCATCTTTGTGAAAAGAAACCATTGTTAGGGGTTGTTAGGCTGCAGGTCTTCCTTATGTTAACAGCTAGTTCTGGATGTTAACAACAAACTGGTTGATCCACTATGAGAAGAGGCTATTTGAAACTGAGCTTGTTGCAACTCCTCAGACTGAACTTAGTTTTTTGGATTAAAGACAAAAGTTTCAACAAGTTTTTTTTTTATTTGTCCAGAGGACCTGACTTAACTTTTTTAGATACAAAAAAATCTGAATTCCTAGACATTTCAACATTAAACTTTTTTCAGATCCTAACCCATATTATAAAATTTGCAATATTCTTTGTAAAAACTTAAAAACATTTGTTATATTAAGTCAGTTTTGGCCCACTTCGGTCCCTCAAAGTGAAGCTAGCATGTGGATATTAAGCTGTGCTGATAAACTGTGCCAGAGTTCAATTTTTGTAACACAAGTGTTTCTCTTACCTGCTCCATTACGAACAAACATTAATTTATAGCACTTAGCAGCATCCGCGGCCAGAGCTTTTCTCTTTTTTATCCTCTCTCTCTCTGCTCCACCTTTCCTCTTCTTTGGCTGTCTCTGTTGCTCCATTCTACAACTCAGAGATGCACGCACCGCGCGCCAACACCGTCGGGAGCGCGAGTCCTGGACTAGGGCGGGGAGGGGGGCGGGCGCAATGTGTGTGTGTGTGTCTCTGCTCTGTGACACACAGAAAAGGAAGGGAGGGGGCCGGCCCGGCCGGGGGATGTGCCAGGCTTTCTCCGTCGCTGCAGTGCAGCGTGAGACCTGAGCCCAGGCAAAAGTGAATTGTTTATTTAAAATAATAAAGTCCGTGCGACCCGAACCGAGCCTTTAGTCCCGTTCCTCGGCAACCAGGCCACCGGGAAGTGTCCCGTCGTGCCCGACGGTGAATCCGCCACTGGGGTCTCCAGTTTCTCCCATTGTTGCCAACCTGTACATGGAGGAGGTAGAAAAGAGAGCCTTGACGTCCTTTTCAGGGACACCACCAAGTCATTGGTTCAGGTATGTTGATGACACCTGGGTTAAAATTAAATCTCAGGAAGTCCAACATTTTACTGACCACATCAACTCTGTGGATAAATATATCAAGTTCACACGAGAAGATGTAAAAAATGGCAGAATGCCTTTCTTGGACTGTGAGGTCTCAGTCTCTGATAGAGGACATTTGCAAACTGAGGTGTACCGCAAACCCACCCACACAGACCAGTATTTGCAGTTTGACTCCCATCACCCTTTGGAGCACAAGTTAGGAGTCATCAGGACTCTGTACCACAGAGCAGACAGCGTCCCCACTAGCTCAGGAGCCAGGCAGAAGGAGAAATCCCACACAAGACAGGCTCTAGAGCAATGTGGATATCCTAACTGGGCCTTCCTGAAAGCAGAGAAGAAACGCAAACAGGACTCCAGTCAGCCAAAAGGTGAAAAGGAGGAACCCAGACCCAGACCAGTGGTCATTCTGTATGTTGAGGGAGTATCAGAGAAACTGAGACGTTTATTTTCTAAACACAATGTCCCAGTGGCTTTTAAACCCAAAATACATTACAGCAAAGACTGGTTCATCCCAAAGATCCAGTCCCTCGACACAAACAGAGTAATATTGTGTATGTTGTTCAGTGTCAGGAGGGTGATCAGTCTTACATCAGGGAAACTAAACAGCCACTGGCCAAAAGGATGGCCCAGCACAGAAGATCAACATCATCAGGCCAGGACTCTGCGGTCTACACTCATCTCCAGGCCAGCGGTCACTCTTTCAGGGATGAAGATGTTCACATCCTGGACAGAGAGGAACGATGGTTTGAGAGAGGAGTAAAGGAGGCCATCTTTGTGAAAAGAAATCGTCCATCATTAAACGAGGTGGAGGCCTCCGTGTCCAGCTGTCACCTTCTTAAAATGCTGTTACTGCTAGTATCACTCAGTCCTCTGTGAATAGCAAGTGGCCATCAGGGTGCTAACGATTGGTCGTTAGGCTGATGGTCCTCCTAGATGTGAACAGCTGGTTTTGGCTGTCAGCAACAAACTGGTTGAAGGGCTATTTATAAGACTGAGTTGAATACAGCTCCTCAGACTGACAAAGTCTTTTGGATAAAAGACAAAATGTTTCAACAAGTTTTTCTTATTTTTTAATCTGTCCAGAGGACCTGATTTAACTTTGTTAGGTTTTTCTACCTGGATTATTGAGCTTGCATCAGGATACTATTTCATTCACATTTACACCAACAATAGTGTTGCATTTCATTGCTGTTTAAACACAATGTATGTGGGGTTTGCAAGCACAAATAGCTGCAGCAACAGTCAGCTGCAACAATTTAGGTGCAGCTTGGGACTCTTTCAGCAGAAATTTTATGATTCTTCTGCTGAAGTAACCATGTAATGCAAAACTGACGTTTGTATTTGAATTTTAAAATATCATGAGCATGAACCGCAATGAAATTTCAAATACTGCAGGTGTTTAAACCCTCCTGCTGCCCTTGGGTCAAAATGGCCCAGAGGTCTTCCGGCGGAAGTGGGTTGACCACTAACTATGGCTCGTCTGGCAGCTACGGGCGTTTGTTTCAACGCTGCAGCAAGATGAGCCAACCCATCAGACGAGGGCGGGGTTAGTGGGGGGAAAAAGTTTCCTGCTGCTCTACGACAACACAAGAAGGTAATGTCAGCTTCGGTTAATTGTATTGTTTTGAATCCGAGAAAACTGAACGAAGCAGGTGAATTAGCCACAGTTTTAACAGGTGCTGTAACAAATCGTCTTCCTCCGTGTCAGCACAACTTTGATTAGTAGCACGACAACAGATGCTAGCAGCAAGCTGCTAACTTTGGGTCCATCTTAAACTAAAACCATTAAGTAAAAGAGCATGATTGGTATTGTGGGAATAAGCCTAGGGAGGTTATCGTGTGTTTGTTTATTTACAGTAGTTGTTAGTTTCCAGCTAGCGGTTAGCGGATGAAACCTGCGGCTACTTCCGTTAGCCGAGTGACGGTGGAGCAGAAGCGCGTGTTTCACTCACCCTGAACAATTTAGCCGGGTGGAGTCGTCTCCTTTTATATTAGGATTATAAAACATAATTAATCCCATCATAGCTTCCCCAAAACAACTTGAGAGGCTCAACTTAGATGCATTTATAAAAAATATTTTTTAATAATATTTTAAAGAAACAAATCAGTGTTCAATGACTGAGCCCTGAACGTTTACCATACCATACCAATTTATTTATAAAGCACTTTAAACAGTGACAAAGCACACCAAAGTGCTGTACAGGGACAAACAGAACAAGCACACAGCAACAGATTACATAACAGGACACCAAAAAGTAGAAACCAACAAAAACAATAATGGATAACAACAACAACCGCAACATGACTAACACAGTGTGATGCACACAGACTCAGCACAGATCACACAGTGCAGAAAGCCAGGGAATAGAAGTGTGTTTTTAAGCGAGATTTAAAAACTGTGAGGGAGGGGGCCTGTCTAACGAGCAGAGGTAACTCATTCCAAAGTCTTGGGCCTGCTACAGAAAAGGCCCTGTCACCTCTGCGCTTGAGACGGGTTCCTGGGACTGTTAGGAGCAACTGGTCTGCTGATCTGAGAGAACGTGGTGGGACATACGGCTGGAGCAGATCAGTAAGATAGGAGGGGGCAGAGCTGTTTAGTGATTTATAGACATACAAGAGTATTTTGAATTTGATTCGAAGGTGAACCGGAAGCCAGTGTAGAGAGGCCAAAACAGGTGTAATGTGCTCCCTTTTGCTTGTGCTGGTCAAAACCGGGCTGCTGCAGTTTGGACCAGTTGGAGTCTAGCTATGGAGGTCTGACTGATACCAAAAAGGAGTGAGTTGCAATAGTCGAGCCTGGATGTAATGAATGCATGAATTACTGTCTCCAGGTTATTTTTGGACAATATGGGCTTCAGCTTAGACAGTTGCCTCAGCTGGAAAAAGCAGGATTTAACAATCATATTTACATGATTGTTGAGTTTCAGAGAAGGGTCAAGTATCACTCCTAGATTAGTGACTCTTTGTTTCACTAACGGTGACAGAACGGATAGGTCGATGCAGTGGTTGGTGATTGTGTCATTGGGAGGAAACAGCATAACTTCAGATTTCTTCTCGTTGAAACTCAAGAAATTTAAAGCCATCCAATCTCTGATGTCAGCCAGGCAGTCCAGTAATGGTTGAATAGAGCGAGTACCGTTGAGTCTGAGGGGGAAGTAGATTTGGCAGTCGTCGGCGTAGAAATTAAAAGGTATGTTATGTTTCTTGAAAATAGCACCTAGTGGCAGCAGGTATAAAGAAAATAAAAGAGGACCAAGGATGGACCCTTGCGGTACCCCCCATTTAAGCGCTGCCGAGGCTGAACTAAAATCTTTGATGGAGACACAAAAGGACCTGTCAGCGAGGTAAGATCTAAACCATTCGAGAGCTGACCCAGTGATGCCCACCCACTGTTCTAACCTCACAATGAGGATCTCGTGGTCAATTGTATCAAAGGCAGATGTGAGGTCCAGTAAGAGAAGGAGCACAGAATCACCAGCGTCTGTGAATAGGAGAATGTCGTTAAAAACCTTGAGTAGAGCAGTTTCAGTGCTGTGGAGAGGTTTAAAGCCAGACTGGAATAGCTCTAAGATGGCATTATCCTCTAGAAAGCATTTCAGCTGGGACTCCACTATTTTTTCCAGCAGTTTAGCGACAAATGGGAGTCTGGAGACAGGCCGGAAGTTGGACATGACTGAGGGGTCAAGGCTAGGTTTTTTCAGGAGAGGTTGGACAGCAGCATGTTTAAAAGTTATTGGCACCACACCTGAGGCTAAGCTGCTGTTCACAATGCCAAGAACAGGAGGGCCCAGAACAGGAAGAAGCTCCTTAAGGAGTCAAGGGGGGACAACGTCAAAAGGGGAGCCAGATGGCTTCATGCCGCACATGACCTGCTCCAGGGAAGACAGAGAGATGGGCTCGAAGTGGTCCAGAACAGCAACACAATGAGATGGGATGGACGGATCATGAGCAGGTGGAGAAATGAGTGCCCGGGTGTTTGCAACTTTTTCAGAAAAGAAATGGAGGAAGTTTTCACACAGCTCAGTTGAGGCTTCTAGAGGTGAAGGTTCACTGAGGTGTAGAACTGAGTTCAGGGTGGAAAAAAGGGCTCGGGGGTTGTGGGAGTTTGAGGCAATTATTGCAGAAAAGAACTTCGATTTGGCGGCTTTAACTGCCTTCTGATAATGACGCCAACTCTCCTTTAGGATTTGAAAAGAAACCTGCAGCCTGTCTTTCCTCCACCTGCATTCTGCTCTCCTACACTGCTGTCTAACAGCTTGAGTGACGTCATTAAGCCATGGTTCTGATAAAAGTTTTGTTTTCCTGGTTTTAACGGGAGCAACACGGTCCAGAATATTTAAGCAAACAGAGTTAAGCTGAGAGGTTAGCTCCTCGGTGGAGAGAGACACTGAGAGCTGATCGATCCTCTCAGAGCTAAAAGTTTTAGTAAAACGTGCAGCAGTGAAACGGTTAATGGTGCGTGAAGTACGAGCCGAATCACATGACTTAGCAGTAGGACAAGGCGGGATGATATCAAACAAGACAGGCATGTGGTCTGAGAGAACGTTGTCACCGATTACCAAATTACAAACAGAGACATCACGTGTTAAAATGAGATCCAGAGTGTGACCGTGTTGTTGGGTGGGAGCATTTACATGTTGAATTAAATTAAATGAGTCCAACAAATCAAGGAAGTCCTTCACTAACGGCTTCTCCTGACAACAGACGTGAATATTAAAGTCACCAATGATAATAAAGTGATCATATCTTGGTGTGATGTAAGCCAGAAAATCAGAGAATTCACTTATGAAGTCCTTGGAACGAGGGGGGTGATAAACAATCGCACACAGAACGGGAGGGGAATGTCCTAGTTCAAAAGCACTCAGCTCAAAACTGGAGCAGGGCATGAGGGTGGACAACTGTTTACAGGAAAAGTTTGATTTAAATACAGTTAATATTCCACCACCCCGCCGACCTGATGGCCGCGGGGCATTAAAACACAGACAGTCCGGAGGTAAAAGTTCCACCAAGGCGCTTGAATCACCCAAAGGCAACCAGGATTCCGTGAGAAAAAGAAAATCTAGTCCCTCGTCTTTAAAAAAGACATTTAGAATAAAAGTCTTGTTGGCAACAGACCGTGTGTTGATGAAGCACGTCCTGATCTGGTCCGACACAGAACCAGCCATGGTGGGGGTGATGTGCGCCAACGGTTGCAGATTTTCAAAAACAGCGCCTCCAGGACGGTCCAAGCGCCGGGCCAGTAGACAACACCCATATTTTCCCTGGTCCGGGCACGTAGGAAGCTGGCTGTGGAAACGTTGACCACGCAGAGCTTTGAGTTTTACCAGCCGGCCGGCACGTTTACCCCGGCGTCTGGATCGATATCTCCGAGAAGGCAGGCTTGGGGCCCAGCGTAAACAAGCAGGCACGTCTGCCAGAAGGGGTGGAAGAGGGGGGGTCCCAAGTCACGATCAAAATGGTCCGAATCAGCGACAGCAGAAACAGACAATCGAAGATCGAGGAGCTGTTGTCGGTCATACACAAGCAGCGAGTTGATATCCCAGACAAAAAACGAAAAAAGCAGAAATAATCCAAACAGTATCGTCAAAGGTAGATTGCAGGCCATGTACACGGGCGCCATCTTACCGGAAACCAACTAACACCGTTAGTGTTAACCATTGCATGAACTGATTAACTTTTGGTGTTTATGCAGTTCAAAATGGCTGCCACAGCATATTCACCTTAGCCAACACAAAATAGATATAACTCTGTCAATTCTACAGCTTTGAAACAAAAATTTGTTGTGATTCTAGACAAGTCATCCCCAACACAGACTTGAAAATGTTACACATCAAGCAAGATGGTGCTTATTATTTTTTTCTGTAGTTCCACCAAAACAGATGGAACTCAGTCATTTCCCAACATTAGATGATCTTAGTTTAAAATTATGGCATGAATGGCGACAGGCAATATACATTCCTTCTTGGAATGCTTTACCTGCTTTATCAACAGAGGACGCCATCTTGTCTGTGATCCACACACTGCTCTCACCCACCTGGAGCAGAAGGACTCCTATGTCTGTATGCTGTTTGTGGACCACATCCGCCTTCAACACCATGATTCCCCAGACCCTGATGGACAAACTACTCGCACTAGGATTAAGCCCCTCCCTATGCAACTGGGTCCTGGGCCGCAGTCTGTGAGGAACCACAACTTCTCCTCCTCCACCATAAAGGCTCCCACAGACTTGGGCGGTCCTCAGTCTGTGCGGAAACTGTGTGCACTGTCCACAGAGGGTTGAGACTTCATACTCGAGCGTCCACCCTGAGCGGCTGCGGACCTGCTCCGCAGGCAAGGGGCGTTTACCTTCGGGACAAATTGAGTTTGCCGATTGGTCATTTGCTGACACACCTACTAGACTGATTGCCAGGTCTCCAAAAAAAACCCCGAGAGCTGGCAGCCCAGCCGCAGCGGTGTTCTGTGTTTATATGTTGTTAATAAAAAGTTCTAAAAAAAAAAACAGGGAACGCTGGTCCTGCAGCCCACACATCAGACCAGCCCACCAGGAAATCTTCAGACACTCCTGCAGCCACGCCAGGCTTGATTTTAATTTGCTCGTGACAAATTCCTTCTTTTCTCACCATTTCAGTCATGGCATCAACGGACGAGGAGGAAGAGATCAGAGTCAGAGAGTCAGAGTTTCTTTATTGTCATTCGCACCTCATGTGGTACATGTGGTGGAGTGAAATTATGTACGCAGGGTCCCAGTTACATCCAACAATAAAATGTATAAGAAAAACAGTAATAACATCTAAGATATGAACTAAGAAAAACATCAACTAAATATACACTAAGCACTCATAACATAAAACATTGAACATCAGCACAAACATGAACATGAGTCTGTGAGCAGATGTGCACGCATGAACACATCAACATTGAAACAGATCAGCAGCAACATGAAACAGATCAGCAGCAACATGATATGGTTTTTCACAGTGATTATTCTAGTTAGAGATTCATGAGTCTAACAGCCTCAGGGTAGAAGCTGTTCCTCAGTCTAGTGGTTCTACACTTAATGCTCCTTAACCTCCTTCCTGAGGGGAGTGGGGCAAAAAGTGTGTGTGCTGGGTGGGTGGGGTCCTTCATGATGCAGGTGGCCCTCTTCCTGCATCTGGAGGTGTAGATGTCTGTGATGGTGGGGAGACTGATTCCAACAGATTTCTGTGCAGCCTTCACCACTCTCTGCAAAGCTTTTCTTTCTGCAGCTGTGCAGCCTCCATGCCACACATTGATGCTCGAGCACAGGATGCTCTCCACTGCACACCTGTAGAAGGAGGTGAGGACTGAGCTTCCCAGACCAGCTCGCCTCAGCCGTCTGAGGAAGTAGAGTCTCTGATGAGCTTTCTTGATCAGGCTGGTGGTGTTGTTGCTCCAGCTGAGGTTGTCATTCATGTGTACACCCAAGTACTTGTAGCTGGAGACCACTTCCACCGCAGATCCTCTTATGTTCAGGGGGGTGTAGGTGTTTTTGTTCCTTCTGAAGTCCACAATCATCTCCTTTGTCTTCTTCACATTGATGTGAAGGTTATTCTCTCTGCACCAGCTCTCCAGGTGTTCCACCTCTTGCCTGTAGCTGGACTCATCATTGTTTGTGATGCATCCCACCACCGCTGTATCATCTGCAAACTTTACAATGTGACAGCCTGGATGGGTAGCTGCACAATCATATGTGAGCAGAGTAAACAGAAGGGGGCTCAACACACATCCCTGAGGAGAGCCAGTGCTGAGGGTTATGGTGGAGGAGGAGAGGTTGTGGATCCTCACTAACTGTGGTCTGTTTGTTAAAAAGTCTAGTACCCAGTTGCAGATGGAGGAGCTTAGTCCTAGTGTGGATAGTTTGTCCATCAGGGTTTGGGGGATCATGGTGTTGAAGGCGGATGTGAAGTCCACAAAGAGCATACGGACGTAAGAGTTTTTCTGCTCCAGGTGGTTGAGTGCAGTGTGGACCACAGAGGAGATTGCATCCTCTGTTGATCGGTTCTC